TAACGCACCTAGCATTGTCCCCAGACACCTTGGGTAAACCCACACTTAGCACTGTATTGAATTTTATGGCGGCTGATGATGTGTCTATTCTGGACTATCTTGAAAGGTCCTTTGACGAATTTCAGGTCCTTTACAACACTGACTGCAGCACTGATAGGCTATGGCATTTCTTTTCAACTGTTGTAGGGAAGTGCATAGACAGCTATGTACCTAGGATTAGAAAACGCATTTGTAAAACCAATCCCTGGATCACCAGAGAAATCATTCACATAAAAAGAAAACTAAAACGGAAACGGAAATCTTGTGCAAAAAATTGTACCCCTGAAGGAACAGCTTGCATTTCTTCAATGAGACAAGAACTGAAACGTCTGATCAAGCAGTCCAAGGATCGGTTTTTCAATGTGACATTGACGAAATACTTGAAGGAAGCCCCCTCAAGGTTTTGGCGCTTTGTAACTCCCCCAGCAAGCTCTCCGAGGCCACCTGAAATTACTCAACAACATGTTGATGATTTCAATTCTTTTTTTGCTTCTGTGTTTACTCATGATAATGGCAATTTGCCCGAGTTTTCTACGTCACCATTGCAGCGGCCGATCGATGATGTGGAAATTAGCGAAGAGGGTGTTCTAAATCTTTTACTTAATATAAATACAAGAAAAACCCCCGGCCCTGATGGTATACCAAACGAATTTCTGTACAGATACGCTGAATGGGCGGCTCGCTTCCTTACAAAAATTTTTCAGTCGTCCCTGCGCAGTGGCTCTTTCCCACTAGCGTGGAAGCAGGCTAAAATTACCCCTGTTCACAAAAGTGGCTCCTCTCGAGACGAGCGCAACTACCGTCCTATTTCGCTTATCAGTACATGTTCAAAGATACTCGAGCACATTATTAACAAACACTTGATGTCCTATCTTGATACGCACAATCTATTATCTTCGAAGCAGCATGGCTTCCGCCGAGGCTTATCTACAACAACTCAGTTAATCGGATTTGTTCATGATCTTTCAAAAACAATCAATTTGCGTGGTCAAACTGATGTGGTATATTTGGATTTCGCAAAGGCATTTGATAAAGTGTCGCACTCAAAGCTCCTGTTTAAAATTGACAAAACGTTTCAAAATAGTCACTTGACAAAATGGTTTTCATCCTATCTCAGCTGCCGTCAGCAGTTTGTTCAAATAAAAAATAAACAGTCTAGAGCAGTTGCAGTGAATTCTGGAGTTCCCCAGGGGAGCGTGCTGGGTCCCCTTTTATTTTTGTTATATATAAATGACCTACCAAACCGCGTTACGGTCCCGATAAGGTTGTTTGCCGATGACTGTGTTGTTTATAGTAGAATCGAGACTGAACATGACCAAGTTAATCTAAACAACAATCTTCAAAGAATAAAGGATTGGTGCGAAGAATGGCAAATGAGTTTGAACACAGAAAAAACAGTCTTTATGACTATAACTAGAAAGAAAGCACCTCTAGATTACAACTACCAGATTGGCAATGCTTTCCTCAAGCGTGTACAAAACTATAAATATCTTGGGTTATGGTTCACGCCCGACCTCCGGTGGAACACTCATATTGATAATGTATGCTCCAGGGCTACCAAGGCATTGTATAGCCTTAGACGTAACCTTTATACCGCCCCATCTGATATAAAGTGTCTTGCTTACAAAACTCTTGTCAGACCCATTATCGAATATTCTAAAATTGTCTGGGACCCTTACACAAAGACAAACTGCAATAAAATAACAAAAATACAGCGACTTGGTGCGAGATTTATTTTTAATAAATATAGCCGACATCATTCTCCTACTGAACTCTGTAAAAAAGCTGGACTGGATAGTCCTGAACTTAGGACGAGGATTGAGCGTCTGAAATTCCTCTTCCAGTTAATTCATAATCAATTTAAACTAAACTATTCAGATTACTTCCAGGTCAACACACAAGAACACTCCAGACATCGCCATAATATGTATATACCACCCCTAGTCCCACGTAACGATTGCTTTAAGTTCAGTTACTTTCCACGTGCTATTGAAGATTGGAATATGCTGCCAGAGTCTATAATTGGTTGTTCCTCGCTTACATCATTTGAACTGAATCTAAAACGTTTATTTTCCGAATAACAGTGACATATGTTTTTTTTTTTTTGCGTGTGTGTGTACTTTTTGTTGGTTGCATGATCCTGCAGTAGTTGTCTTTCAAATCTTCAGCGCGGTGCAAAAGTGCCGCCTCAAATGCGTCATGTGCTGTTCTGCGCGTATGTATTGCATCGCATGTGTGTTCCATTTATGTATGTTATGTATAACTTCGAGTTGCTGGTCACAATAATACCGAGAAATTATCTCGAGACCTGTACGGTACTTCTTTTTTGCAAATAATTGTTTGTACTTCCACCCTGTAACGGCCCACTTCTGGGCTAACAGTATAAATAAATGAAATGAAATGAAATGAAATGAAATGAAGTTAGGACCTCAGAAGACCACAAACAAAAACTTGAGCCACTGGTACAAGCATTTTTGGATTAATTAACGTGGCATCAAACTAGGTGATTAGGGCCCAGTGATTGAAAAATGAAAAAAAAAATGGCTTCTTTTTTCCTGCCAATCAATGGTGTACACAACATGAAAACCAACGTATTACTTTTCAGCCTAATACTCACTGAAACAGCTTTCGGTGCGTCGTCCCGAAAATGGCGCTTGCCCGCCTCAACTTACGCGTCTCGGCTTCACGGAAGAACTCGGTCGCGCTTCTTCTTCTTTGTGGCTGCTACCTCAACAAACGTGCCACAATATTGATGTCAATTGCAGTGGGGATCATTGAAGAACTATGCTCCCAAGAATGAGCAGTATTGGTTACGTTTCCGAGATACTATGGAAAATGTTGTGCGGTGGTGGCAATTGACACCGCCAGGGCCGAAAGGGTTAATACGAAGTCTAACAGACTTTGAGAGAGGCAGTGAGCATGATCAATAAACCATGAGCATGATCAATAAAGAAAAAGGGGATAAAGCTGGCATAAACAACTACCGTCCTATAACAGCGACATCAGTGGTCTACAGGCTGGCAATCCAGATTATTAAGGAAAGACTGCAGGCATGGATAGAGGATGAGGGGGTGCTGGGGGAACAGAAGAATGGGTTTCGGAAACACAGGAGGTTGGAAGGCAATCTGTTGCAACTGACGCAGTAAATCGAAATAGCCGAAAAGGAACACAGGCCCCTGTGGCTAGCATTTTTGGATATCAAGGGAGCGTACGATAGCGTGGTTCAAGAAGACTTGTGGGGAATACTGGACACACTAGGTGTGGAAGATGGAGTCACTAATCTTTTAAAGGATATCTATAAAAGTAACAAGGCAGTTATAAAGTGAGAAAAACAGGTATCCAAGACTGCAGAGGTAAAACGGGGGCTTAGGCAGAGGTGTCCTGTCACCCTTGTTATTTATGATGTACCTACAAGGATTAGAGGCCAAATTAGAGGGAAGTGGACTGGGCTTCAGCCTATCTTTCTTCAAACAAGGAAAACTCATTGAACAGGCACTACCGGTATTGATGTACGCAGATGATGTAGTGCTAATGACAGACAGCAAGAAAGATTTGCAGAGACTGATGGACATCTGCGGTAATGAGGGAGATAGGTTAGATTTCAGATTCAGTAAGGAAAAATCAGCAGTCATGATTTTTAATGATAATGAAGGTAGTGAGCTTAGGATAGAGGAAGTCAGGCTAGAGATAACAGATAAATACAAATATCTGGGCGTATATGGATAAGATATGGGATCGAGTACCTAAGGGAACACGAAATATACGTAATGACTAAAGGTAACCGGAATGCAGCAATGATGAAAAATAGGGCACTGTGGAATTACAATAGGTATGATGTTGTGAGAGGAACATGGAAAGGGGTCATGGTTCCTGGTCTGACGCTCGGCAATGCAGTCTTGTGCATGAGATCAGAAGTTCAAGCAAGATTAGAAATTAAGCAACGCGGAATAGGTAGGCTTGCCTTAGGAGCTCACGGGAATACACCAAATCAGGGAGTACAAGGTTATATGTGATGGACATCATTTGAGGGCAGGGAAGATAGCAGCAAGATAAAATTTGAGAAGCAATTGAGAGAAATGGGAGAGGAGCGTTGGGATAGGAAGGTATTCAGCTACTTGTACATGAACAATGTCGATACAAAATGGAGAAAGCAAACCAGAAAATTGAGTGGTAAATACTTAGAAAACAGCAAGGGGCCAAACCAAAAAGAATTGTCGGTTAAGAAGAAGGTGAAGGAAGCTGAGACCGATATGTGGAGAATCGGCATGATTAAGAAGTCCGCACTAGAGGATAGTTATAGCGCGAGAACAAAACGACGACACAGAGACGAGAAGGACACGAAAGACAAGAACTTCCGTCTTTGTGTTGTCGTTTTGTTCTCGCGCTATAACTATCGGCATGCCATACCAACTAGCCCAAGCTGCCGCACTAGAGATCTATCGAACGTTTAGGCAGAAAATTGCCAAGAAAAGGACTATGATAATACTCCGGGTAGTTCTCTACTGTTTGAGGCCAGGACGGGAGTATTGCGAACCAAGACATATGGGGCTAAATACGAAGAGGTAGACACGGTATGCAGTGCGTGTGGAGAGGAAAAGGAAACTGCAGAACACTTGATAATGTTCTGTAAAGGGCTTCATCCTATAGTTCAAAATGATGGCGCAGAGTTTTTCAAAGCACTGGAGTTTAAGGACAGAAAGGGCAAAATAGACTTTAAGCTGATAAAATGAAGTAGAAGGAGGTTATCTGATTGGTGGCTAAAGTCGATCAAGGCAAGAGTGAAAATAAACCCTTCACTGCAAAGTACCAGTCCTCAATTTCACTATTTAAAGGAAAAAAAAAAAGATGAATCTAGTTTTCGGTACACTAAGCATTACGGCTAGGTGGCGTTAGCCGCTGCCCAATTTAAAGGGTACAGCCTTTTCAATCTTTTCATCTATCCATACAATGCAATAAATGTGGTAGCTATTCTCGGCAATGGATCATGTCATTTATACACAAAAAGGTACAACCAATGAGACGTCGCCAATTTTGCCGCCCGAATTCATTTGACCCGTTAAGCTGTGGGTGTTCTCTGCTGTTCTGGTGTAACGGGTTGTCTGTGCTTTTGGACGCTGAAGGTCGTGCTACTGAAGGAATCATCGTCGCGCTAGTGAACACTGTGAAGCATTCTCGTTAACTGCGGAACGGAAAGTGGAGGGAACGTTTTCGCCTGCTTCAACCGAAAAGCGGGAAACCAAGCGCAGCGATAACCGCTGCCTTCCGATGAAGCCACTGCACACATCATGGAAACAACGCAAGGCGACGAGACACGCTGCGGTGGCGACACCGCCTCGGGAGACTTCTCAGATCAAAGCGTATGTGTTGGGCGTCGTGCATGCACTCTACGCACGGGTTGTAAAAGTTGCTGTGGTACATCGACGTGTCTTTTGATCTGTATGCAAGTACACTGTTGATGCTAAACTACAGCCAAGCTATCGTAATTTTTCTGCGGCCGTCGACGAAGAATCAGCGTTAGATTTATCACAGTCGTCGAGTTTCGGCGACATGCTTAGATAAGAAGAGTTAGAGGTAAATCTAAAATAGGAGTATTTTACCTTCAAAGATGAAAGTTTCCGTCATATTGTTTTGGTTTATAACTTTGGTTCTAATGCGGCGCATGACTCGAAGCTCGCTGGTCCGATCCCAGCCGCGGCGGTCGCATTTTGGTGGAGGTGTACTGTGCTATGACAGTGCACGTTGAAGAACATCGGGTGGACGAACTTTCTGGAGCCCTCCATTGCGGTGCCCCTCATAAGCATATCGTGGTTTTGTGTTATATTGCAATTGGCGCATGCTCAGAACAGGCATTCTATGCGTGCTCTTTGGTAACAGGTGAACACTGTTCTGGAGGTCAAGGCTTTTTTTTTTTCCTGTTCTGTAGAGCCATCATTACCGGATGTTACAGTACTGTAATGGTATGAACTGTATTAACAGGTACTGTTGGGCGTGTTGTTGCACTGCACTTGATCGATAAGGTTCTGCACCAAGAAATCGGGTATCAAACTTGAAATCGAGGAATTCTGAGAACATTGGAAATTTCCGAAACTGGGGATACTTCTTAGCAGACTAGCTGGTTCATACTTGAAAACTCGACTTGCTGCGCAAGCAGAAAGAAAAATAAAAGGAAGACGGGAATTCTTTTTTTCTCCTGCTTGTACAGCAAGTTTAGTTTTCGAGTACGAAGCAGGGAACAAGCAAAAAAGTTCTGCTTCGACCTTTTTTTAAAAGTGGCACATTGCATTACTTACAAATTTTAATTGTCGCTCGGGCTGTGCAAATATCTCAGTTTTGCATTTGAATCATATAATTTCATTTGGCTTTTGAATAGCTGGTGTTTAAAAATTCCAGATAATTTGACAAGCCGAATATCTAAAATGCATGGAAGACCAATTTTCAAACTCAAGGGTTAATACTGAACAGTAAAATCACTACAGTAGGCCCCTTTTGTTACAATATTCACTGATATTCTGGTTGAAAAGTGAGTGCGTATATATTTTAAATATTACGTCATCTCCACACACACACACACACACACACACACACACACACACACACACACACACACACACACACACAAAGGCATAAGAAAACTGTCAAGTTCTTCACAACTTTGCTTCCAAAACGAAAGCATGGACTTCTTGTGTAGTTAATTCGTGTATGCTGCGAATGCCGTAAAATTACCGAACATTGGCCTATGACAGAGGCCATTTACAAGAAAAAAAATTTTTGCTGGGGGTGACTGGCCTCATGTCACCGCTGCCCCTCCGTACCGCTCTTTCAGAAGCTCCCATCATTCAGGCGGGATGTTAAAATACTAAATGCATGCCTGAAGATTTTTGGGTCTGGAGCACTCTCGTGATGATTAGGCACCAGTGTTACTGTTATCAAATACGTGAGCGATATTGGTAGAAAATAACAGAACAAAAGCCACCAACCATTGTTGGCTGTTGGGAGATTTAAAAGTGCCACTGCTGACCAGAGTGATGACTCTGTTATCAACGTGCCTACACGCCCTTCAAACCTGTAGAAAAATAAAAACTCTTGCTGCCATGCTGCAACGTCCATGATTTTTCCTCCATTCTTTTGTCTGGCCGTAACTTGTAGTATGCATTTGGTTTAAATAATAGGTAAGTAAGCATAACCCAGTGAACTGCATTTTCAACTGTAGGAAACTCTGTAATCACGGCAAGAGCGCCTGCAGCCAGAACTTGTGTTTCTGCAAGACAATCTGTAGTCTTTCAGTTGCACTTACCGCATTATGTGCTCAAGGAATGAGCAGATTTCATTCCTTCGTTCTTTCTGTCATTTCTCAATGAATTATTTTATATTCAATGTTTAACCAGATATTTTTTTTCATTATTCAAGTCGAAATGAAATTTCACTCTTTGCACATTCTTAATTATAGTGGTGCATTCTGTGATGATTGACAACTTAGAGATGTTGCTTGCAGTTGTGCTTGAACTTTCTAGCATTCTGATTGCCGATAGTGCAATGTTGTTAGTGTTTCTTGTCGGGTTAAGTGCGATCTCATAATTGCTCTTTATATTGGGTTAGCCAGAAAGGTTGATTGAAGCAAGGGTCATTATCTGTTATATCCAGCTGTCTCAGGTGTTGTAACACCTTGAATATCTGCCAGTAGCAGTTTAAAACTCATGTATGTCTCACTATCTGAAATTTGGCTTTTATCAAAGAGGTAAGTGCTAAGAAAGTAATGTCTACTGTTAAGACTCAATCTAATGAAACCCAATGTAACAAAGAAATTTACATCTTCCGACAGGTGCCCTTTAGTTCACTGTTGTTGTCAAAAAAAAAAACAAAAAAAACTGACATGGTCCCTCCAAACAAAGTATAACGAATCTTTTTATGAAGTGTATAAAAAAGCCTAGCTTCTGACACAAAAGTATTTTTGTTCTTCAAGTGAGCACTCTAAATCACATTAAAACATATAGGTGCCTTAGCTTTTCTCGACAAGGCTGCATACCACGCCCAAGCAGTGTTTAAGGCCACACTCGTCGGTCAGTAGCGCTCTTACGTACTAAATGGTGCTAGGTGCTGTGGTGGCGACTTTCAAGACTGCTAATGTGTCTACGGAATGCCTTTTAATATTCTGCAAAAGCTATGTAAAAAAAGATTTGTTGTCTTTAGCAGATTGATCAGTTGTCTGACTATAGTTGGCTACAACCTAGGAATAAATGGAAGCTGTGCCCACAACCATCGCTGTCCTACCCCGAGAGAATCGGCATGTATGCTCCCTTCACTGGTAACTCTAACGTGACATTGACCACATCTTACGTAATTGGGGACTGTGATTTTGCCATGCAGGATCATGTTCGTGTGACCGGTTCTCAGTCGAAAACATGTATTTTTTACCGAAATTTCAGGAAATATAACCCCATCGCTGCTCAGACTACTGTGATATATTAAGGAGGGACACTGAAATTTTAATTCCCTATTCGCATTGTATTTATGTTAGTAGCAAAAGAGTTCAATGGAAATTACCTAGCACGACACTCTTGCACAAATGATTGGCTGGTGCACCTCGGTTCTTGGGGTACAGCTTATATTTATTCTTAGCTTGTAACGGGCTGTAGTCACGTGCCTGTCATTCATGGCCAGTTTTGCTTCTTGAATTCAGCTTGCACTCTAGGTTGCTTAAAGTGAAGTATTTCTCATGCCTTGTTTGAAATCAACATGAAAAATAGTTTGCAGAACATTCTCAGTTATGTAAAGGCTCTATTATGGTTCATGGCATTAATGTCTCCATTCGTATTATTCTAGCTGAGGCCGATCTCTCTGCCTTTCTGTAACTCAGTTCTCTCTCTAATGCTGTCATTTTTCAAGATGATTGGTGCTGTTGATGTAGTTTCAGTGCTTTTCGTGCTCTTTTAGTGCAATTTCAAAAGAAAACCTCGATAGAGAACATACCGCATTAAAAAGGAATCGTAGTTGAACCAAAAGAAAATATTTCGCCTGGCTAGTGCTTATATTACATCATGCCAACCTGCTTTGGTACTAAGGGTTTCTGGCGAGTTTATGTCTTAGTAGAAACCTTCACGACCAGTGAACTCAAGGTCACTGCAACGCGACTGTGCAGGCGTCTGCGCAAGCATGCCACGTCAACGCCCTGTCAGGCAGCACCGTTGGAGTCCGGCCTGTCGCCCATCACTGGTGCATCGTGCGCAGGTTGGTGCTGGCATTCCTCTCGTTTGCTGCATGACATTCTCACTGAATGCACACACGCGAACGTTTGTGCGGTCCAAAGAACTGTGTGTCTGTTGTGGTTGTGTAGTGGTTATGGTGCTTGGTTGGTCAACTCGGGTTTTGTCCCGTCTGCGGTGGTTCCATCTTGATTGAGATGAAATGCTAGACGCCTGTGTATTGTGCAGTGCCAGTACGTGTTAAAGAACACCCAGCCCTCTTCTGCGGCGTGTCTCACAGTAGTCCTGCATGTGGTTTCAGCATGTAGAAACACACATGTTAATACTGAAGGGGCCGTCACACATTGCTCACATTTTGCCATACCTACATTAGTATTGTTTCCGGCAGGGAGGGAGAGATTTTGACACTGCAGGGGTTCTAATGTGAAGAGAAAGATAGGATTTAGAGCAGGGGCTGCTACAGAATGGCGAGACATATCTCCTACCTACTTTGGTGTACCTCCTTAATCCTTTTAGCAGTGCTGTAAAATGCCATGCACCCAGTGAATGTGTAGAATGATGCTCGATATTTTAACGGAAGAAGAGGAATTGCATGCGGTAGGTGAGATGAAGAGGAAAGAGAGTGCGTGTGGACACAATGCAACATATAGCTTCACTGACATATGCCACGGCAGAGTGGGCATGCTTTAGTGGGGAGGCTCTGGATTGCCAAGTTCCATAGCACGGCAAAAATACCGTAGCTCTGAAAGGAACTGGCTCATGAATGAGCAGTGTTGTACTTAAAAGACAACAGTCTGTTCCAGTTTAAAAGGCAACAGGCTTGGCAACACTGTCAGGGGGCCAACATTTCAAAATCGAGGAGCTCTGACAGTTACCTTAAATCACATCTAGCTAATTTTTTTTTAATTAACCACTCGAGGGTTGTATTTTTTATGAAATACACTCCATGAAAGGGTAAATTCGGTTACAGCTAAATTAAGTTCTTCTGACAATTGTATTTCACAAAAGAATTGTCGAATTTTTTTTTTTTGCCTGACTGTAAAGTGGCCAGAAAATCATTTATCTTGTTACATCTAGATTATTCATGAATAGCGTCAAGCAATATTCTAAAAAAAACAACACCTATACAACTTTTATAATTAAAAGTTATACATTATATTAACCATAGCTCACAGAAATACAAAAATGAGCACACCAGAGTATTCTGCTGGACTCACTAGCAACAGAACAACTGGCATGCACTTCCATAGATTAAGTGAACTGCATGAATGAAACTCCATGAATGAATACTATAATTATGTGTTGGTCTGGAAATAGGATGATGATGAAAAGCTATAATAATTCTCCCTCATATTTACCAACGAGAGGGTGTTAGCTTTTCGATGTTCCCAAGACATTAACTACGGAAGCATCGTTTGTGTAAAGTAGCACTGCGAGGGCACAGATGTAATTGCACCCTTGGGAGCAATAAACGAGAGTGCATTTATCGCAGTGGTGTCATGGTTTTTTTTTTAAAAGCTGTGACTAACAACACAGAAAGAGGCACAGGAATTATTTTTTGAAAAGGAGCATCTGGGCAGCACACATTTCTGTGATATTTGCAAAATGTGATCGCCGCAGCCTTCTGCGCGAATTAGGAAGCTTGTTTGGTAGGTGCAAAAAAAAATGTGTAAGATGTTACTGGCCCTTTAAACTAGAGAGTAAGAAGACTGTCGCCCACTGTGTGGTCACTCGGTCGTGAAGTTTTGTGTGCTCTTAACAAGTGTCAGGGCGTCACATGTTCAGCATAGATATCCGCCCAGGTACTTGATGTTCAGTATATTCTTTGGCGCTGAATTGAGGACTGGCCAATGATGTTCATGATAAGGGGCTCCCCTTGTTTGTCATTTCATCATGCCTTCTTAGCTCTATTGCTGGTGCCAATTTCTCGGTCAATACTGCAGCTGTTGCGTCCACAGAGGAGGATAGTGAAGATTCCTTGGACCTAGGCCAGTGGGGTCTCCCGGCCGAGGTGGTGGCTGGCTATGCTCGCCGTGGTGTCCAGCGCATGTTTCCCTGGCAGCTCGAGTGCCTGGGCACTGGCAAGGTGATCTCTGGTGCAGGAAACCTCGTCTACTCTGCTCCAACAAGTGCTGGTAAGGGTGCAGTTGTCAGCTAAAAGGGGCCTTGCTGTACTTTCCCAAGTAATCATGAAATTACTCTGTTGTTAAAGCTGATTGCCTTGTGAAGCAACTGCCATAAAATTTTTAGTATGCATGAAGTACGAACGGAGTTAGAGTGATTTGCCACACGCTTGAACAGGTTTCGCTTACCTTTCCTCTCAGCCAGCGTGTCGAAGGCTACAGAGGGAAGATGAGACGGGGGAAGGAGAGAAAGCACTTTACTTTCTGGTTTTCCTCAGATGCTGTGTTGCAAATGTATAACTGTTTTGTGTGGCTCGCTTGACTACGTCGTGATGGGCCACAGTTTGGTCCTGTCACAGTTACCATGGCAGTCGCTGTTACTGTGCTGCTCGCGATGCTCAAGGTGGCAGCAGGTCTTGGGTTTATGGTGCTGTCATTCGGGTTTGTGGCAGCATCTGCTGAGAGAAGAGCTAGCTATATTTAGCTGACTTTGTATTTAATGTGTCAATTTTCTATCGATAATGCCCTATAATGTAGGCTATCTCGGCAGCCATCAGCTCATACAGCTCGTAAACTCTTCTACTTGCTGTGCTCTCAATGCGAGAGTCTGTGTGAAAAGAGCGTGCCTTCCTGGCGCGACAGTGTTCTCTGCACCAGCGTTTTGTAAAGTTACGCGATATCGTATCCAAGAGCTCAGCATTAAAGACTTTAATTTAGCGTGCACAGCGGCCAAGCGTACGCAGCGCGCGAGAGGCAGCAAGAGCGCGCATGCACGGAACCTAAGAGAGATGCGTGCAGTTTGAGCACGCAGGGGATGCGCACACTAGATCTCGGCATTTACGTTGCGCCCGCTACAGCCGTTGTGTACCTTACAGGTGGCTCTCGCGAAATCTTGAACAGCCAAGACCAAAACAGACAGGATGGCTACAACCGAGAACACTATGGTAGAGTGACCTAGAATAACTACGGTGGTCGTGCCAGCGAATGAAGTTCGTGTGAGTTTCGGTGCATTCGCAACTCAAGTATCCTGAAGCCAACAAGTGAAGAGTTGCAGTGGATTGCGATCACTGCTCAGCTGAAGCGCAAATTGGACAACTGGACGTCATTTACGAAGAAGCAGGAACACGATGGTGATGTGAAGCACCGCGACGGATTCTTGGGTTGTGTACGGGGCGTCATGTGTGTGATCCCTTTGAACTGTCGTGGTTGCTTCATGTGTCTAACTGGAAAATGATTGAATGATCGCCAGCAAAAGCATTCCAAGTGTTAGAAAGTAAAGGTTAGTTCTAGTCATGCATATAGGGTGCATGCGGATGCACGTTCGCGTGCTACGAAGCTCACGTGATTTTTCTCGCACACGGTGCCCTCGTCATTGACACGTGAAGACGCCGCTGCCATTGGGGACATTTTTGCATTTAGCGTTGAGGAACCCCAGTTTGGTTCTTTTTTTTCGTCTCGTGATCTTACAAAAACATCTGTAGCAAACAATAAATGGTAAATTGGCTGTATGCAGTCGTCTTCGCCATCTCTGTCCCTCATGCTGCTAGTTCACTTAGCCTCAACACCCCGAATCACTACTCGTCCTTGGAAAAGATCGCCTTCTATCATGCGCTGACTTGTGTGTTGCGTCGACTAATATCGGTTATTACAACTTCTTGCCTGCCTCTCCATGAGATGGCGTGAAGCAACACTTGAAGGCAGGCCTGTTGACGCTCAGGTGCAGTGCACGTTTCAGTTGTTGCACCCGGTAAACTAATGCTGTAAGAGGCAGCCTTAAAGAAGCACTGACATCAAATTTACTGATGCCAAAATTTTTGCATCAACGAGTAGCTATAGACCCCGTAGCAGGGATTCACGACCTAAAACGCAACTGAGGGAATAATGACTATCATTTTTATTGATCTGTATCACTGATATCTAGCACACGATTCAAAACAGCCGGCAATACCGCCATTTTTCGCGCTGGGAGCACTACCAGTGGCGCGACCTCACGGTCACCTCCAGATCGCACCGCAGCCGACCACTTCTCCACACAAAAGAGTGACGTCAGGCTCAGCTATTCCGCAAATATTTCGTCTGATCGGCAGACGCATTCAGTCATGCCTTGCCACCTGCATTGCCGTCATCGCCGTACAAAGTGTCGACATGGGTTGATTACGATAGGCTGGAGCTTGGAATCCACGGGATTCGTGACGTCACGAATTATTTTTGCTTTTATCGACCTTTTACAGATCAGCGATACCAAAATGGATGCCGTTCCTAGTAGCACTGAGGACTGAGGAGGTGCCCAAGGATGCTGTTTTCGCTCGTGTGTCTCAGTTAGCTATATTGGTGTGTTTTGGCGTGCACGGCATTCAGGTACATGCAAAGGGGTCAATGGAGCATCGCATAAGCGGAGAAATAGAATACGTTCCCTGCTTGTCAGGTTCTTTGTTGCGCCTCCAGATGGTCCCACCTATCCGGCCTCTCGCAGTTGTGGCGGCAGTAACCCGGTTTTACGCAGTTGCAAAGTAGTCTACAGACAAACTAAAATTCAGCGATACCTGTGTGTTACTTGCTAGCGATGATATTCCACTTTGATAGATCGTGATCGTGTTGGTGTGTAACATACCTATACGAGATAAGAAAAGACACCCTCATTGCGCTTTTTCCGCGCTTCGAACGAGACGACCGCAACTCGCAACGGTTTTCCAACATGCTGACCGACCCTGAAGTACATACTTTTTGCCAGTGTCTGCCAGCTTTCGTTAATGATATGTACAGTGTCACTATTTCATGACATTTCATCCTATAGGCGCCTCCAGATGGCCCCACCCATCCGGCCTCTCGCCGTTGTGGCGGAAGTAACCCGGTTTTATGCAGACGCAAAGTAGTCTACAGACAAACTAAAATTCTTTTAAACGTATCGTATGTAGCACGTTGCGAACGTACAGCTTTGTGTACACTAAACTAAAATTCTCTACTATTTCATGTAACATAACAATTTATTGCTATCACACTTGTGTCTTCACCATTGTGGTGAAATTGTGATTGCTTAATAACTTCATGGAAGCACTCACAAAAAGAAATGAAGGGTGATGGTAACAGCGCTCAAAAGAAGGGGGGTGGTGTCTGTTTCCTGGAAAAGCCTAGCAAGGACATGGGCACGAGACTGCTCATTGAAATGGGCAGCTGTGTATAGTTAAAGAAGTCAAAGTTGCTCTTCAAGGGGTAAGAAATGAATGTGCTAGAAACAAACAATAATGGTGTACAAAGGGAGGCTGGAAGCTAACTTTTTTGAACCTGATCTCACAATACTCTACAAAACATTGGTGTAAAGGGATACGGCCACACCAGGGAGCGCAGCACTTTTCTCAGTCTTTCCACAATGAGGGCACAGCAGGCTGAAATATATGCGAACCGCCCGCTGATGGCTGCCAAACTAGCACGCGTGTCAGTGTCTTTAGAGGCAATATTCACAGTTGCTGCCCAAACGGCACCTCCCATCCCATTGCGTCTCTTCGTGCTCGTTCAAAATGCTTGGCATGTTTCCTCTCCGCTTCGAGGGCAAGCCTCCCGAGAGCTCGTTGGCCACCACTGCACTCTGTTAAACTCCATCTATGAAAAAACTTCCCTAGGGAGTTCGACAGAGATGGAGTTACGCCCATGTCACACGGCAATTTTACAAGCTTTGGACAGAAGCTGCAAGGAGCCTATTAGGCGCTGGTGCACCTTCTCCGCATACAAGATTTATTTTGTAATCCCTACGAAACATATTCAATTGTACATGTGATAATATAATATCTAATTTGTTAACACCGAAATGAGAAAAATGTTTTGGCTTTTATCACAGACATGTACTCCTTCAGGCAAGTGGGCAGTAATGTTGATAGGAGTGCTGGCAACACTGTACATTTGTTTTGGTGCACGTTTTCTTTACGTAAGCCGATTGTCACACTGCTAGTCGTCGTCGAGTTCTTTGCAGTTGTGCTACCATGTAGCTCACAATGTTCTTTACAATATCGGATAGGCACAGGTCAGTACACGAAGCTTTTGCTGACAATAGCTTACATAACAGTTCGCATGTAGTGCCTGCATGACTACCGGCATTGACGAAAAAGGGCCCGCGTCAACCACTGCTATGAAATTCGGCAGTGTTGAAGTAGAATAATAGTAAGAAGTGTGAAGGAGTTGCGGATATGCAAACACCATGGTGCGCACAGATCGGATGGCTGGCACGCTTGTACGGACTTGAAGAAACTTTTTCAAAATGGTGACACGATGGCTTTTGGTGAGGCATGGTGTGGAGAGTACATACAATCAGCGTCAAATGAAACCCAAACAGCGGCAACCCTTTGTGATGATATAGTGTACCCCGTTCACTTATCAACGCGAACAAGCATGCGCATCCTCTTCGACAGTTCCGCGCATATTAGTGTGCCTGTTCATGGTGATAAGTGCACGGCGCGTACTATACTATTACGAAGGCTTGCCACTGTTCGGGTTTCTTTTGACGCGAATAGTACACTTGTATATCTTTTTTGTTAAATGCTCGTTTGAGCAAATTATGCCGTGAATAAACATTTGATTAAGTTTATTACTGTGTTGACTGCGGATGTTTGTGTTTGCCGAACTTTCTTTGTGAAAGCTTTAGCTTCCTTGACGCAAGGGAGACCATTGACGCATACGGGCCGCATCTCAGTTGTTGTAAAGGCGAGAGTGTAAATTGGAGTTCGCAAGTGCTCGTGTGACTGGGATATCAGCTGCGTTCGTCGGCCCCCGCTTGCACACATTTACCAGCGGATGAGAATATATACGATGGGCGGGGCTTGCTATTAATTTTAAACTTGCATGGGACATGACGATAACGGCGACGACAAAAACCTGCCTGGAGTGTCTATATTGCTATTGCAATAATAAGGCTATCGCACACTTTCGCTCAGTGTTTGAAAAAATGCAGCATTGAACAAATTTTGCTTCACATGTGCTGCGAAGTGGGGTGACATCTGCCCTGAACATTCTGTTCGACTGCTCCAAACTTGCTCGAAGAGGCCTTTCTGGCTCCTGCAAGCCTGCTTCACACTTACGTTTTGTGTAGCAGGGCTGCTCTCAAACCCATGTGCCCTGTTCCAACCCTGATTTTGGCAGATCTGCTGAACTGGCAGCTCTGTAATTAGTTTGTCTAGCCTTTAACACCATAACGGCCACTTTTTTCACATCAGTGGTATGATTCTAGCCAAACGGTAAATTAGCATGTAATGTTTCAGTAATTCTTTAAGATGCAAGGCTGTGGTATATATCTTAAGAGACTGTCCACGAAAGCTGGCAACTTCTCCGTCGCCACTTTCTTTTTGTTCAGATCTGTATCACTGTGCTGAGAGTTGTTTGCGCGGTTGAGTGGCTTTTCCTTACCTTCAGGCAAGACCCTTGTGGCTGAAATCTTGATGCTGAAGCGCATCCTTGAGACAAAGACCAAGGCCTTCCTCGTGCTCCCGTTTGTCTCACTCGCCCGGGAGAAGGAGCTCGTGTTAGCCGTAAGTCGCTTTTCTCAGATGACTTTGTTTGGCATCACTTTTGTGTGAATAACTTGTAGAGAAATCTTTGGGGCACAAGGACACGAGTTTGATGTTGCATACCACAGAAATTCGGCATTTCAGCACTTCACTTTTTGTACTTGTGAGTGCATCGCTGTACGCTTAGCATCAGTCTTTATGAACGAACAAGTCGATAAACACTATTTAAAGAAAGTTTACTGCCTAATGTTACGGATACTGGAATAATCTATCACAACATTCTAAGACTTGCCATACATTACTTTTAAAGAGACCATGACACCCAATTTTTTACCACAATCTGTGTTATGTGGATAATCATTTTGTGTTCATTAATAAACTGGCGAAATTTAAGTGCATTTGGTCGAATGCTTAATTTATAATTGAATATTTTTATACACATGCAAGTGGCCTGAGAGTTCGGCAACTCTGGCATGCTCACGAGTCATGACATAAAAAGCAGCTAGCTGAGGGGTGTCTGCATTCTGGCAAATTATGTTGTTCAGTTATACTGTTCAGCTGCACATGAAATCGAAATATTTTAGCTTTCTTCAGATTGGCTCTGAAATTGAACAATTTGCAGCGGCTGAAGCTTTGGTGGAAGACGACAGCTCCGCTCCTTCCAGGACATGAAGTCACATACCATGGCAAATGGCAGCGGAGGGTGATGACATCCAGGGCTTGTTTCGCACCGAAATATTATTTATTGCCGATTTTTTTAAATACGTAAAAGCATAAGGCACTCTGTAGTTCTAGTTTTAAACCACAAATTGTTGGGTAAACGTGTCATGGTCATTTTAAGCCCCTAACTGCTCTTTCTTCCTGCAAATATTCGGTTAAAAAAATGCCGACTTTTTATTGCTGATTTCCAATCTTATTGTACTAAAAGGTATCCAGTCAATGTCAAAAATATATTTTCATCACATACTTAGATCAACGGAAGAAAGTTTATTTCTTAACAATACATAGTAAACTAACTACCCGCTACTAATAAAATTTAAAAATCTTAGCGAAACAGTCGCAGAGGCCACATCTTTTTTCACTTGTGTAGGCCTAGCACCCTTGGGGTATTTCACTTCGGAAGCTTCAGGGCTGTGTGAAAAATTTCCACATGCGGAATAACACAAAGCGGCTTCACTGGCAAGCATTTGAAATTTTCGCATCCGAGCTGTCATCATCACCGGAGCAGCAACTCAATTCACCGTAATCACTGTCTCCACTTCCCAGCACAAGACGAATATATGTACTCGGATCATCATCAATCAAACAAGATGACGAGAATGAATAGTAGCTTTTTTTTTTTTCGTGTTCACGGGCCAGCTATGCACGGGTTGCCGCCACTGCACACCGTCTTTCCATACAAAAATTGCGCTCCTGCCGCAGGAGAAAACTAAATTCTTGAGCAAATGCTGCCATCTAGTGTATGACACGCAATGTAAGCCCTAAGTGCGCGCTTCTCCACCTGAATGCAAGAGGGGAGTACCTATTCCGCTAGGACGAGTTCTGCTTGTCTAAAGCAGTTTGGTAACAGTTTGGGCAGGCTCGTCTCAAGCAGGTAAGGGGTTAAGAGAGATGAAAAGAGACAATTGCTAATAATGCCATTGACTACATGCATGACTACAGATATAATGTAACAAAAAGTTACAAAGCTGATTTCATGTTTTTGAATATTTCTGCATTTGCTGGTTTTTAACCTCTTATTCTGGGATGCTTTATTTTTCATTGTCTTTTATTTATGTCTTTATAAATACAATTCTTAGTCGGGCAATATAGAGATAATTCACCTGTCTGCATTTCTCTTGCACTTGAATATTGTAAACACTTTCATGTTTCTGATTATTTCCAATAACCTGCTTTCGTTTCTATTTTGCCAGTGGTTTGTTGATTACTATACACTGGTAAGAGATGTTCCCTTTACAATATTGTGAATTTTTTCATGCTAATGATAGATCAATGAAAAACAAGGAAAAGAAAAAAAAATCTCTATTTTCAAAGTGTACCTTCATTTCAAACTGGTGCCAGCATTGAAATATATATATATAAAGGCTATTCCTTCGTCAGTTGTATCCTGTATCCACTGTCATGTTTTGTTGAACCTGGGGTGCAGTAACCACTGTTGCTTAACATTATTTTTCAGTGTTGCAAACTTGACTCCCAAATTCAGTGTGCCTTGATGAATGCACCCATGCATTTCAGCTGATGATCTGCATTTCAGCAAATGATGATTGATTGCTTGAAGACGAAGCGTTTCTGTGGCAGATGTGTTGTTATAAGAAGTTGTTGCTATTGTCTGGTACAATTACTGTCAGTACATTATCAGTGCTATATTACCGATAGTATAATACTAATACACTCTTTCAATACTGTATGGTGGTCAAAACGTAGTACAGTTAAGCCCTATTTATACGAGACACTGATGTAACAGACAAATGAGTATAAGAGACGCCACATTGAAATAATGGTTGATAAGAAGATGCATAGCATGCACTTTGCTAATAAGAGACACCTCATTTGACAGGACAAGAATTGCTCCTCTGTGCATGCATCTTATAAAGGGGTTCAACTGTAGCCACAACATATTTCTGGGATTTTCAGTTTACTGTGCAAAGTCTTTCTCTACTTTGTTCTTTCTTAGATTGGTCTTGTCTTTAGCAGCAGTTTTAAAATCTGTGTTGTGCCTATTTCCCAGAGCTTCCATTACAGCATATTGTTTGACTAAATACTTTCTATAATGTACAGTTGAACCCCTTCACAGGGGACAGTGTAGTGAGAGTAATTTTTGGCTCTTATATAAAGTGTCGTTTCTCTTAAAAGAAGAATAACACCTATGCATTTTCTTATTTCATCAACCCTTTTTGCAATGTACGCTCACTGGTTTCTCTTATACTCGATTGTCTTGCATCAGTATTTTTTGTAGAGGGATTGAACTGTACTACTTCATAGTCTGCTTGTCGTTGTCAAATGTTAGACACTACTTATCGATGGTGCAGGAGCTGTTTGGAGGCTGTGGTGTGCGTGTGGGTGGCTTCCTAGGCCAGCGTCGACCGCCGGGTGGCCTCTCTGGTGTCGACCTGGCCGTCTGCACCATTGAACGTGCAAACAACCTACTCAATGGGATGCTGCTCGATCAGGGTACCCTGAGTGAACTAGGTGAGTGAATTCTTTTGGGTGATTATTGACTACGGGATGTTGATGATGCAACGTTAAGAGCACACAGTTGAACAAGCACTGCTGGGGAACTGATGCAGGATGTACAGCGATTGAAACGTGGCATCAAAGCTTCTAGTATAATGACTGTGTGTGTGTGAATCGCTCGAGGCCTCTGCATCTTGTTGCTGCCAATAAAGCCTCTAAAGGTAATGTTGGCTCCGCTGCAAGCATTTGAGAAAAAATTACATCAATATGACACAAACTCGTGAAAGTAGAATTGACAGTACATGCAGTATTTAGCCAAAAGTTGTTGCATTTCAATCCATGAGCAGTTTACTCCGTGCCTGTTTTATGTTCTTCCTGCGCTATCATGATCCTTTTGTGCATGGTATGACATCACAGGTGTGCGAAGCCGGTATGACAATGGCCCCACCATCTCAGCAACACTTGCAGGAATCCAGCGTGGTCCAGGAGCGTAGTTTCACACATACACTGTGTCCCCAAATGCAGAACTGTGCTCTGCTCTTTGCTCTCTTAGTGCAGACGGTCTGGGCTTGGTCGTTTCGCACCCTGTCGGGGTGTTGTCTGTCTAGAAGTGTCTTGGTGAAGCGATTGAAAAGTAGCTCTTCAGGGCTCTTTCCTGTACTAGTGCAGAAAGTGACATGTTGCTGGAGGTAAACTTGCGAGATGTCGGTCCCAGTCGCTCTGGATGATCCGTTTCAAAGAGTCCTTGGTTGTTCTGACGATGCGCGGTTTGCCCATTGGTTGCTGGATGAAAAAGGGCAGATGTCATGTGGGGAATTAGGCCACCCACTAATAACTGTCAAAACTTGTCAGACACAAACTGTGCTGCATTGTCCCATACAATAATGTCAGGTAGTCCGCGACTCAAAAAGAGGCCACGCAGACACGTTATGACAGTGGAACTGGTCATGGACAACACTGGAACCAGCTACAGCCACTTGGAGAAAGTGCAATGAAAAAAACTTGCCCTTGAAATGGCCCAGCAAAATCTAAGTGGAGGCGTAACCACGGCGTCCTTGTTTTCTCCCAGTGGTGCACAGGGCCTGAGGGGGAGCTGGTCTTCATGCCTGGCATGTGCTGCACAAGTTCACCGCCTGCCTAATGTCAGCCTCCGTTTCGACCACCACACATAACTGCGACTGAGGGCTTTCATACAGACAATCCCTAGATTTGCACTATGCAATGCCTCCGGTACCTGAGCTCGAGCACCGTAGGGATCACAACTCTGTTTCCCCATAGGACGCACCTCTTCCACACTGAGATCTCGTTCTTTCTCTGCTCATAGGCCTGAAAGTCGCCACGCAGACGCTCTGAAGGCCAATCGCTAAGAGCCCAGCTGAGAACATGAGACAGCACAGGGTGCCGCTGCATCAAAACAGCAATGTCTGTAGCTTGCAGAAGAGGCTTCGTGGTCAACTTCAGCATGAAGACTTCGAGTAACGGTGGTGGTGCGCATACAGTCGCAGCTGAAGGCAGTCTTCTGAGCGTTGGCAACCTTCTTCCCTGGATGATGGACCAGTGTATAGCTGTGCTCATTCAAAAGGAATATACCATTGTAGGCATTCAAGGTGACAGGATGGGCGGGTTTACCTTGTCCGGCGCAAAATTCCCAGGAGGGACTTGTAGTCTATTACAATTACGAACTCACACCCATAGTGATGGTCGTGAAGCTTCTTCTTGCTCGAAACTATAGCCACTTGTTTAATATCAATGTACGCATAGTTGTGCTCTTGCTCTAATGATGTGTGCGAGTAAAATGCATAGGGTACCTCCCTGGAGTCTGTGGCTAAGCACTGCCCCAATGCTAACAGGGCTTGCGTCACATGTTAAAACTACAGGCTTAGTTGGGTCATAGTGTGTCAGGACAGTGTCTGAGGAAAGGAGGCTCTTGAGTGCATGAAATGCCTTTGGCTGCCTCGCTCCCCAGGCCCACACTGCCTTCGCGTCCAGAAGATGGCGAAGGGTAAGGCAACTGTGGCCTTACCATTCGGAAAGCTGGGATAGAAATTGAGCAGGCCAAGAAACGCTTGTAGCTCTTGCTTATTTTTGGGAGGTGTTGCCTCATGAATAGCAGCAACTTTTCTACATGTGGGAAGAATAAGAACAGCACTTACACGAAAACCCTGAAGTTCGACTTCTGGCACTATAATGATGCATTTCTTTCTTGACCTGCAGGGCAGCATACTTGAATCGCTGAAGCACCTCATGAAAACGTGATGCAAGTTCCTCTTGAGTCGCAGCAGCGATAGGTATGTCGTCGAAGTATGGATATACTCCATGAATGTTCTAGAGGAGCCTATCCATTAGCATTTGGAAGATTCCGGAAGCACTGCTTAACCATACTGCAGCCTCTTTACTCTATATGTCCCTCGATGCCTGGCAATGGTCTGAGCATCTGCTGATGCTTCATCTACGAACAGCTGTTAATATGCTTGTGCAAGGTCTAATTTCACGAAGCGCTTTCCTCCGGATAAAGATGACAGCAACCGACTCACAACGGCAATTGTATACAAGTGCATTGAAAAAAAACTTTTTTATTTGTTGACCTACAGCAATGAAATTGAGCATGCATACTCATAAGTGTCTCGGATAAGGAAATATGCAGTTTCATCATGATACCTTCAGTAGTTCTCAAGTTACATAATGCTACATGGTCCAATTACATGGTCTGCTCGTGGAAAGCCTAGCGCTGTAACAAAACATGCCAGGAAGCTGCGAATGGTGTTGATCTTTACTCAAAAGAAAGCTACAGGGTATGGCACTCTCAGAATTCTTTAATAAGCTCTCTTTTTTGCTTTAGAGATCATCATTGCTGTCCACACACATTGTCAGAAACAGTGGCACGGACAAATCATCGTCCAGAAAAAAAAAAACAGGGCCAAAGAACAGAAATTTAAGATTGCTGTACCCACAAGCAGTGTTCAGGGATTCAGGGAAAAAAACAGAATCAAAATCGGTCCAGTCATTCCCGTGCTACTCTTTCAACGAGCAATGCACAATGTCCAAAACACACTTGTGAGAAAAAGCCTGTCGAAATTTTCGACAGGCTTTTTTCGATGAACTTTTTTGTTTCTCGTTGGATATTGATGAAAATTGGCACAGACACTAAGAATGACCTCACAGTGCTTCCATAAAAATTTTGAAGTGATACTACAAATACTTTACGAGAGACATATTATTTCTTCATTGAACCATGTGGAGGGGCTGAGCATAATGTCAAAAAAAACAGTATTGAGAAAGCTGCGTTTAAAGTTTCAACGTTTCTTTACGTTTCTAAGACGCCTAAAAACTGTGATCTCAGGTTTGTCTTGTGATATTTGACTTCTTTTCATGATTTACTCCTTTTCATGATTTACAAAGAACAAGTATGGATCTCAAACCAAGTTCTATGTATGAAGAAGCGGTGTGATAGGTATGACAGAAAAGATTGTAATTGAATAAAACCATATACTGAAATTATTACACATAATTTTTGTGCTGAAGTTGTAATTAGCGTAATTAAGTACTTGATTACAAGTATTCACTGAACTTTTCTTTATTTGGAGAGAGGTTTATTGCATCAGAAAAATGGATCATACCATGACGGCCTATGCCTTCTTTCCAAATCACAAAGTTATGGGCAGAAGACTGGTGGCTCAGGAATTTTAGCAGTATAATCAATGACGCGAAACGGACATATGAAAATTCGTGCCCCTGATTCATACATGCTCTTTTGCCGCTCTAGCCGTGAAACGCATCATCATACAGCCGGTCGCGGAAACTCTAATCTACAGCAATTCATTAACCTCGGAACATTCATAGGCGTTCGTGGCGATATCAAGCACGGCTCCAAGCACGTCTGAATTGCATTACAAAAGCTTATTGACAGCACGCCATATGACCGTGGGGTACGCGGCAGCGTAGACAGTGCAGTGGCATTCGGTGACGATGCGCGAAATGTGTAACTACGATGACAAAAAATCGGCGCGCACTGTGCTTGGAATCGCATTTTCGAATGACGACGCGCCAAACTGCTAGCCGCTGTTCTGAGCAATCCTTGGCAGTGAAGGGGGGGGGGGGGGTGACGAGCTTGACTGTGTTGTCCGCTGCCGATGCGTAAAATACCCGTACGTGATTCAGAGGAGCTAGCGAGTGATGTGCTACATTCCTTGCGAAGAAGCACGTCGCCAAGAGTGCGCTTGCGCGTCGTTCCTGCCCGTAGTCTCGCTGTCAGCGGAGTTAGGGCTAAAGCCGACTCCGATGACGCGCCGCACTCGTAGACCGCGTGCCGGCTCGTAGTTATCTGATCGTGCATCCGGCGCGGCCACTCGTAGTAATCAGATCGTGCCGCCACGAATGCGCTAGCGCGTCGTTGCTGCCCGCAGTCTCGCTATCGGTGGAGTTAGTGCTAAAGACGACTCCGATGACGCGCGGCGCTCATAGACCGCGTGCTCGCTCTTAGTAACCTGATCGCGCATCCGCTCACTGCTCGTAACTAAAGCGTAATTATATCTTAAGTGATCATCAAGCCCTGACCACGTCGCAAAGTAGCGATTTTTGAGAGCCATGTCCTCGCGACGCACAAGCAGCAGATGACGGTCGTCTCTCGGAGCGAGCATCGGGCCAATGGCGAGGCGAGCTGAGGCAACATGGCGGCCACGCCCAATCAAGGGCCTCAAAACGACCTTTAAACATTTGCTTTTTGTGCGCTTGTTGTTAAACGGAGGAGCCAGCTGAGGCGGGAAAGTTGAACACGGAGAAATGCTCTTTTCGATGAGCCCAAGAAGCCGGCTAACGGCCTAAGCATCGCGAAGCTATAACTTTTTGAAAATCGCTGTTTTCTAGCCATTTCCAGAAAAAGTTTTGCTACCTAGGTGGGTGAAACGAATTTTCCGAAGCACTTCTACACGGTTTTCAGTGTAGATATTTTGGAACCAGATAGAAAAAGGGTTCCAGAAACTGAAAACTTGAGTTTCAAAAAATCGATTTTTTTGCCA